AAGAGAGAGAGAGAGAGATTCGAAAATATGAGAAGAAGTGAATATTGCAGAAGAGTCAAATAAGAAGAATCGAAATATTGGCATTGCGCAAATATAGGAGAGATTGAAAAGAACAATGACGGTGCCGAGAGAGAAAGTAGGTTCTCAACCCAAGTACGGTAAGTGACCTTTGCTTTTGAAATGAAATCGACGAAAGCAAGAGATTTAAGTTTAAGCTTTTTTATTGTCTGCTTGCTTTGTTGGGTTGGGTCCAAAAGTGTTGAGTTTGATTAGCCTAGAATAAAAAATTGTTGTAGTTCCCTATGTCTTGCTTTTATGTTTTCTTGTTTATTAGTTGTTTAAAGGTTCTTTTAGTGCTTTAAACATTTTAGTTGCAGGTGAATTTTGCTCCTGTTTGTTTACTGGTAGTTTGGTGGTTGTGTTGTCTTTTTTAAACTATACATATGACTAGGCAGTGGTTAAACTATACATATGGCTAGGCAGTGGTTAAAGTGTGTTTTTTTTATGTTCTGTTGTGCATATGACAAAGGAATAGTCACCTTTGAAGTACACGATAGAGTTAGAATGGTAAAATCCCCAAACCTTAATGAGTGGTGGTTCTATGTTGGGGGGGGGGGGGTCTATTGATTATTTGGACTGGTGTTTTCTGGGCTACATAAATTTGTTAGAGATATATGTGTATGCAAAAGAACTTGGCTACCATGACCAAGTGGTTGTGACATGGATACAAAATGGTAAAAAAATGTGTATAGATAATGATGCTCAACTACTTGATTGGTGTCATTTGGTGCCTTCTATCTTTGAAAGAGTGATTGTAATTTACTTGGAACACCCCACTGTTATTAATGTGGATGAATATGCAGTGGCTTGGAGGGAGAGGGGTCCTATTGCAAGAAACCTAACTGCTGAATTTGAACATGAAGATGAGAGTGATGAACAGTCTGGTTATGAAGGTATGTATGAGGAGGATGAGGATGATGGCATTGTTGTGTTAGAAATATGCCCTTAAAGCCAACTAATTATGTAATAGTTATAGTTAAGGACATATTTGATTAAAGACATATTATGTTATCAATGGGCAAGAAAAGTTGTTTTATACATTAAATCATCATATATTATCTTTCAATATGTAGAACAACCATAGTTCAAGGAATACACAAGTGGATATGAGAGCTATGTAATGAGATTGCATACATGGAGACTTCTCATCATTCCTAAATCTTGAATATATTCCTAGTCATAGGAATATTGATTGGGCGTCAATATTCTGCAAAGATCAGTACACACAGTATCGTTTCTATATGTAGGGAATGACAATGTCTTAAGTCATTAAGTGTGGAGACACATCGATATGTGTGTAGGGGCTTGTAGAAGAATAAGTATACTGAACGCGATCCAACACATGAGTTACAGTATGGAAGTCTTTACTCATATGTCAAGCTGGAACTCATAAATTGCAATGGTGCAAACTAATCCTTAGACCTGAGGCATCATAGATGTTTTGTGGCTATGTTGTTAATCTTTGAAGGCACTATATGGTCATGCTAAATTAGGCATAGCTTAAAGGTGCACATTAGGATTCTCAATAGAGTCATTGAAGCAAATGAATGTATAACAAGAAATCCCTACTCTCATTAAAGGAGAGAAAATACTCCAAGATATGATTGGTCAAATCTCTGCGCAGAGTAGTGGATAAGACTTGAAAGAAGAAGTCTTCAAATCTTACCAAGATAATCATATAAAAGGAATTATTCACATTAGGATATTGACAATCGGATTCCATGATATAATAATGTGAATAAGGAGTATTGACATAAGAGAAAGATTCAATTACATGGTCATTCCAATTTGAATACGTTCTTTCACAACGTCTCATTTAGCTCAGATAACCGTGACTTGCTGCTAGGAGACAACCATGGTTTGTGGATATCCTAAAAGGTTTAAATTAACCTTTATTAATAGGAAGAATTAAATTTTGGAATTTAATTCGTATATCATCTCTGAGGAGTTGAGTCAACCTACTATCTTGCTAAAGGGAACTCACGGATCTGCACACCCAAAGAATGTGATTAGAGATACAAATGAGGAGAAATGAAATGAGCATACACAAATCAATGGTTGATAAAAAAAGGTCAAAGTCAACGGTCAAAAGTCAACATGTTGACCGGAGCAATTGATCAAAGTCAAATAGTTCGACCGGGTCAATTAAGTAAGACTATAATAATAATAATAATAATAATAATATAATAGTTAAATTATAATTAAAAGATTAATTATGAAATTAATATTGACATATATAAATATTGGATTGAGCGTTTAAATATGATTTAAAAAGAAATGGACAAAATAGCCCAAAAAGTTATTGAGCCCAGGTGATAAGTGGCATAAGATGACATGACCCATGGACCAAATGGAGCCTTAAGTACCCACCAAATTGCCTTTTGTGTTGTCATATATAAGCTAAGTGTTGGAGAAAACCTAGTTAGGGTTTTGGGTTTCCTATTTTGGTTGATGAGTGATTATCTTTGTATCTCATCTTCCATAAACCAAAAATTGGTCCAATCAAGAAGTAGACTAGCATCCATACTTCTTGATTGCCTTCTCTTCATCTCTAGGAGCATTTGGTGTATTGAGGTAGATGACTCCAATCTTGGAGCCTTAAGGTGAAGGAGTCAAAATCAAGAGAAACAAAAGGCTTTTCCAACAGAGGTGTTCATTTTTAAGAAATCAAGAAAATGTCATAAAGGGTAAGTATCTATTCCATTTTTCCTTTTTCTATTTGTGTTCAAAGAGACTACGCTAAGATACTTGGTTTAAAATGAAAAATGTTTAGCTCAACTAGTATAAACAAAATGAATCCGCTATTTAGAATGTTTTTGTTGTATATGTTGTGGCTAAAGTTCATTTCATAAGCATTAGATGCATGTTTCCTTCATGCTATTGATGAGGTTATAAATATAGATGATGGGGTTGATGACATTGCTGTTAATGTGATGGACGAGGGTGATGAAGGTACTGTTCCTGAGGGTATAAATGTGGCTAAGGAGGGTGATAAAGGTTCTGTTCCTGATGGTATAAATGTGGTGATGAAGGTACTGTTCCTGAGGGTATAAATGTATAGGATGAGACTATATATGAAGAGGGTGAGAAGACAAAAGGACTGAAAATAAGAGTGAAAACAGTGAAGAACATGGGGAAAACCTTGAATTTTATGACAGTGCTTATGAGTAAAGTGAAGATGAACAATGCTTGCTGGAGGAGGATGATAAAGTATTTGACAACTATGTTGACCACAATACTCCATATATTGATCCAACTGCAGATGAAGGAGAGAAATCAGACGATATGGCTGTGTAGAGGCTTTTTCTTCCGGTAGCTGTAAATGGGTTGGGTTACCGTAAAGAGCAGATGGATGAAATTATCTCCTGTGTCTGAGTTTGAATATCAAGCGCCAAAAATGCTTTGAAAGGATAAAGATGCCTTAGGAAACACCTTGGTTACCTTCACCAACAAAAATAACAACAGCTTGCAGACAGATTTTCTAGCTTGACATGAGAGACTTGTGGTATGGGAGCAAAATTGACATGAGTTTAGTACTGAAGAGAAAGTTATGCGTTCTTGGGGGAAAAATTGGGTGTTAAGGTAAGAGAAGAAGGGTTTGCAGGAAGGTTTGGTTGAGAATGAGGATGAGTAGCTTGAGTGTTTTTCTGGCAGCTTGACATAGGCTCTGTCACATGTTAGAACAGTCTGCCAGAAGAGGAAAAATATGGGAAAAGGATGAATAGAGCATGAATTTGCTGGGTTTTGCAGGTGAGAGAGGAAGCTTGCTCTCTGGATGTGGTTGTTTTAGCTAGTGATGAAGTAGTGAGTGTGCCGGGTAGTTTCCAGCAGCTCGACGAAAACTCTATCCAAAGTTTACTGAAAGGGAAAATGGGAAGAGATTGAAGGATGGGGCTCGAAATTGCAGAGTTTCAGAGATGAAAGATGAAGCTTGCTATCTAGATATAGGTTGTGATGATGGGTAGGAAATGCCTTTTTTTTTTATAGGCGCTGGAAGCTACTCTTTTCCAAGAAACCTTAATGGTTTCTATCCAATTTGGCCAAGCTTTTTCCTTTATTTCTCCTCCCTTCCTTTGACTTATCTTATTTGGTGAAATTCTCTCTGCCCATTTGCACAAACAGGGATTTTTGGGAGCTCAATGTTCTTCCCGCAGCTGCCTCAGTGGAGAACTCCCATTTTCAGCCATCTTTCTTCCTTCTTTTCTCCTCTCTTCTATGGCTAGATCTGATGGGGGGAAAGAAATGGGTATGTACACTGGTTTGAAGGGTGTTTTGCTCAAATATCCCTTGGTTTTTCTGATGGCTTATGTTGGGATTCATTCTCCTCATGTGCTGGAGCCTCCCAGCAGCTTGCACACATGGATATTTTGGCTTTCATTGTGGTTTTTGTTTTCAGCTAGGTGCTGGAGATTTGTAGAAATTTTCTTGGGTTGCTTGGGACTTCTAGGACAATAAGTTGTTTTATCAAGTAAATGAGCTAACCTTATCAAGTGTTGGTCTATTTTGGTTGAGTTAATGGGCTATTTTGATTGAAGTAATGGGCTATTTTCTCTTTTGTGCTCACCCACATGTTTGGGCTTAAGAAATGGGCTTGAGTTTTGATACTCCTAAGCAACCCGGGACTTCCATTTCTCGACCCATCAATGGGCCTCATGTCAATTTATTACCATCCGTACCACAATCCACTCAAGTAAGCCACATGCATCTTGTGTGACTTGAGCCCATTTAAGCTTGTAGCATGACGTGTTGCTTATTTGCTTGGCGTAACATGTGTGTAAGCGCATATAACGAACTTTTGCGTGCCCAAATCGAGTTTTTTCTCGATAAGGTATCGCATTGAGTCGGGAATATATTTGGGCTTAATCTTGGATTTTTTTGGGCCTCAACATGCTGTGAGTAATGTTAATAGCTTGGATAGTAGCTCATGTGATGAGGTTGATATGCCTATGAGAAAAAGGAAGAGGAAATTGCCCAAGTTTAATGATTTTAAGCCTGAGACAGATTTGAGTAACCCAATCTTTAAACTTGGTCTAAGATTTTCCAGTGTCTATGTATTTAGGAAAGCAGTGATAAATTATTCAATATTCAATAGAAAGAATATTAAGTTCTCCAAGAATGATAAAGATAAGATTAGAGCAGTTTGTGATGGGACCAAGAATGGAAAATATCCATGGTTTGTTTATGCTTCAGCTGTAAATGGAAGTAGCATGGTTCAAATTAATAGTTATGAAGAGGAGCACACTTGTGGGATTGTTGAACGCAAAGTCCATGCTAACTCATCATGGTTAGCAGAGAGATATGCTACACAGCTATCTAGAATAATAAATTGGGATGTAGGAGCTTTTAAGGAAAGGGTGAATGAAGGTTTATGTGTCATATCTTCAAGATCACAAATATACAGAGTAAGGCAAAAGACAATTGCTGTAAGTGAGGGGACTTACACAAAATATTTTGAGTATCTTTGGGATTATGTTGAGGAGCTAAAAAGGATAAATGTGGGAATTACTATAAAGATTAAGTCCAATTTTGAGGGTGACAAATCCAAATTTGAAAGGATTTATATATGTTTGGCAGCTACAAAGAAATGGTTTATTGATGCTTTGAGGCTAGTTGTTGGTTTATATGCTTGTCACATTAAAGGGCAGCACCCTGGACAATTACTCTCTACTGTTGGTGTTGATCCTAATAACGACATGTATCCAATAGCTTATGCAGTGGCAGAGGCTGAGAATTATGCGACTTGGAGTTGGTTTTTGGAACTCTTTGAAGTTTATCTCGGCATTGAAAATAACAATGGGTATGTGTTCATTACAGATAGACAAAAAGGATTAATTGATGCAGTGGGTGACATGTTCCCAAACTATGAGCATAGACATTGCTTTAAACATCTGTATGTCAATTTTATACTTGCTGGCCATAGAGGATTAGTTCTGAAACAACATATGGAGGCTGCTGCAAGAAGTACAACTATACCTTGGTTTCAAGTAAAGATGAAAAAGCTCCAAGATTTGTCAGGACCAACTTTTGATTGGTTGGCAAGGCTTGATCCAATGCAGTGGTGTAGGTCTCACTTCAGAACACACTCAAAGTGTGACATTATCTTGAATAACATGTGTGAGGCATTCAACAGGTCTATCCTTGATGCTAGAGACAAGCCTATTATAACAATGCTTGAGAGGATTAGGTATTACATCATGTTGTTGATGGCAAGTAAAAGTGAAACTATGGAGAAATGGGCTTATGATGTGGGCCAAGAGTTTTTGCAACTCTTGAGAAGCTTAAGAAGCAGTTAGCCTAGTGCATTCCAAGGCTTGCCGGGAAGAGCAAATATGAGGTTAAGTGTTTTGGAGGCACTCAAGTGGTAGTTGATTTGAAAAACAAAAGTTGTTTATGTAGGCAATGAGATCTAACTAGGATCCCATGTAAGCATGTTTGTGATGTTATTGGGCAGTTAAATGGCAATCACATCAGCTATGTACATGATTATTACAAAAAAAAGGCCTTCATGAAAGCTTACAAACCCATGGTTCATCTAATGACAAGCCAAGATTTGTGGGCTAAAATAAATTTCCCACCTTTGTTGCCACCTAAGCATAAGCGACAAAGGAGGCCAAAGAAAACCAAGATAAGCTCAACTAGTGAACCATCTCCAAGCTCTAATCCTAAAGCTAAATACTTGCCAAGGTATAATTTGGAAACCAAGTGTTCCATATGTAATCAATCTGGCCATAATAAGAGGAAATGTCCAAAGGTAAATGAAGCAGAGAATAGCAACCAGGTATATTCAAAGAATTTGATTTTAAAAGTTTTGTATGTTTGGCATTCTTATATGGATTCATATGTGATGTTTGTTGGCCAGTTACCATCACAAAGGCAAAATAAGACAACCCCTCAAGGCAACACATCAACTCAGAGAATTACAAGATAATCAAGGCAGAAACAAGCATCATCTTTTACACAATCAAGGCAAAAACAACCAGTAAGTTGGGTTTCTTTTATTTAAGTAACATTATGAAACTCTTCATTTGTAGATATTAATCAAAAAGCAGTCATGTTAATCTAACTCTGCCACAATTTTCAGATCATATCAAAGGCTAAAAAAAGGACCAATCATCACCAAGCATCTTCTCAATCTAACTAAGCTTCTCAACCTTCTCACCAACCAGCTCAACCATCTCAAGAATCTCAATTTGAACAAGCCTTGCAAGCATCTCAGTTTGAACAAGCCTCTCAAGCTTCTCAGTTTGAGCAAGCATCTTAAGCTTCTGTGTTTGAATAAGCCTCCTAGTCTCAAGAATCAAATTCATCTAAGCCTTTAAAAGCTTCCTCACAAAGGAAAGTTATGTTTAAGTATCTAGCTAAGAGAAAAGCATTATTGACAAAGTTTCAGCCATAGAGATATTGAAAATCTCTGCTCTGTTTTTATGTTTTCTGTGTCTTGGTGAACACATAAGTTTTTTAGTAGAAACTGTATGTTTGGTGTTTTATTGTCTACTTTATTTTTGGGTACAAACTATTTGGCATTCCCATGGATATCACAGGTGCATATTCAATTTTTTGTATTTTGTTTTGGCATTGCCATGGATTAAACATGTGCTTACAAAGTCTTTCTTTTGAGTTATGTACAAGACTATGTACAATTTATGTACAAATTATTAATCAATGGCAGTTCAAAAAATCTGAAAGGTTTCAAGAATTATTGGTGCTTACAGAAGTGCTTAGTCTTAACCATTACAAAAGGGCTTTAAAACCATTACATTTTCAAAATGCTACAGCCATTACATAAGCCTCTCATCTCACTACATTCCCATTCAACTAGGTACATTACACCACATTATTTAACTTTCAAACGTACCAATTGCTTAACTTACATTACATAACATTGCTAAACCAAACCATAAACACAAAGGCCCAAGAAATAAACAGAGCAATCCAAAACTTCTTCTCTCTTGCTCTGGCATGCCCAATCTGATCTTCAACTTCTCTCTTTGTCCTCAGCAGCCAAGCCATTAGAGCTCTCTCACGGGGAGGCATTTCAATATCAACCTATACAAAAAACCTACAACTGTTTTCCCCATCTGCATTCAAACAACAATTCCATCACATTCTCACAATTTATTGTCCAAATTTTGATAAAATAGCAAATCCAAAACCTACCTCTGACTTTGGACACACAAAGAACCTCCGAAGTGGGTTAGACTTGTCCAAGAAGTTTGCAGCCGAGCAAACCTCCTACAGTAGCAATGAGTTGTAGCAACGGCTAGCTCTTCTCTTCTTGGAGGTTCTTTCCTCATCTTCACACCCTTTAATCGAAGAAAGATGGAGAAATTTATCTCTAGGGAATCTTAAATCCTTGAAATTGTGGTAAGTAATTTTTCTGGGTTAGAAACCCTTTTATCAAAGAAGAAGAGAGAGAATTGTTACTGGGGTCTGCTTCACCCCTTCAGTCACATAGATTTGGATTTTCAACGCCCGTGGGGTCCAATATGCCACATAGGATGCTGAGTACGCTCAACAATTGGCCACTATGGGTGCTTTTACCATAATGACTGTCAGTGGCGAAGCTAGGATTTCATGTATGTGGGGGCTTCCTACAAATTATAAAGAATCAAAAGTTCGAACTCACAATACATACGAAAAATAGTATATATATATATATATATCACATATGTCAAGAATTTATTGCTTATTGGTTGCAATCATAATTGTCCTCGGCAAAGGGATAGACAAATATATTTTAAGCAAGAAAAATTGTAAGAGATAGACAAAGAGTAGCGATTTAACAAATATCTTTAAAGCCTTTTCCCCTATTAAACCCAATAGAAAGAAGAAAATCAAAATTTCACAAACTAAAAAAAAATCTAAGGTCCCTTTAAGCATTCATATCATACATGAAAAAATGTTTTATATAAAAATATTGACTCAGTATGAACAATGGTTTTTCAAAATAATCATTTTCTCAAGATAATTTTTGGTGGCTTTTATTTCTTACATATTGTATGGGACTTTTACCTCCAGCAGCTGCAAATGGGCTGGGCTGCTATAAAAATGGCAGACTGATGAAGTTGTCTCCTTTGCCTGAGTTCGAAAATTAAGCCCCAAAATACATCGAAAGGGCAGTAGAGCCTTAGGAAGTATTTTGGTTACCTTCACCAACCAAAATAATGGCAGCTTACAGATAATTTATGCATGCTTACAGATAAAATTTTAAGCTTGGCATGAGAGGCATGTGGCATGGGAGCAAAAGCAACATGAGTTTAGCACTAAGAGGAAATTTAGGCTTTCTTAGAGGGAAAAAGGGAAGTGTTAAGGTGAGAAAAGAGAGATTTTGTAGGAGATTTGGCTAGGAAGAGAGAAATGAAGAACAATGCTCTTCTGGCAGCTTGACAGATACTCTGTTTACCAGAAGAGAAGAATGGAGAAGATGGTGAACAGTGCATGAGACTGCTGGGTTTTTGCAAGTTAGAGAGAAAGCTTGCTCTCCAGGCGTGGGTTGTTTTTGTTGGGTAGAAGAGGCCTCATTTTATAGGCGCTGGAAATCATCCCTTCCCAAGAAACCCTAATGGTTTCTACCATTTTGGCTAAGCTTTTCCCTTCTTTTCTCTTCTCCTCCCCTGGCTTTTCCTATCTTGGTGAAATTTCCTCTGTTTATTAGCACAAAATCAGGAACTTTGGGAGCTCAAGGCCCCATTTTCCCGCAGCTGTCTCAATGACAGATTTCCATTCCCAGCCATTTCTTTTATTGCTTTCTTCTCTATTTTCCATGGCCAAGTCTGATGGGAAAAGGAGTTGGGAAATATATGCTGGTTCGAAGGGTGTTTCTGGCAGCTCGCAGGCTAATATTCTTTGGTTCCTTGAATGTTTCTTGCTTGGAACTTGCTCCCTCCATGTTTGAAGGTTTTGTTTTGTGAACCTGCAGACTTTCTCTACGTGGCTTCTATTTTTCCAGCAAAGGGCTGAGGCTTTTGTGGGCTTATTGTGAAGCTTTGTATGGGCCAAGGTAGTTCATTAAATAAGTGGGCTATTTTGTTAAATATTGGGCTTTTGAGTCAATAGGCTATTTGGGGCTATTTGGGTTATTTGGGCTATTTCTTTTCTTCTTGTGCTCACCCACATGTTTGGGCCTAAGAAATGGGCTTGAGTCTCGAGGCTCCCAAGCAACCCGAGACTTTCCATTTCTCGGCCCATCAATGGGCCTCATGTTGATTTATTACTATCAATACCACAACCTACTCAAGCAAGCCCCGGGCATTCGAGTGGCTTGGGCCCACTTAGGCTTGTAGCGTGGTTGGGTGTGTAATAATGATTTCCTACTTAGCATGGCATGGCATGTCGCTTGACATACTTTTTACTATGCTTGGTGAGATAATTAGCATGGATTTCCAGGGCCGATATATTCTAGCATGACGAATTATTTATTTAGCATGGCATGTGGATTGCAACTCGTATGTGGCGGGTTTTTGTGTATTCTGCTTTACGCCTTTCTTTGATAGAGTGTCATTTTGGGCCGATAATTTATTCGGGCCCGACCGTGGATTTTTTGGGCCTCAACATTAGCCCCCTTAATTATTAGGGCCATGGATAGGTGCTAGAATGGGCCGAATAATTAAACCTGACCTAAAAAATCAAATTTATAAGCTCCAGCAGATTTTATCATTTCCCAGATACCAACTTCTTCCTTTTTCATTTACTATTTCTTCCTTCTTCTCCTTCCTCCTTATGCGCACCAGAGTATCTCTCTCTCCATCACCTTCATCTTCTTTTTCCTTTTCTTCCTCCAACGAACTCAGGGCGAGAGAAAGAGTGGCTGAGATCAAGAAGAATCGCATGTCTACAGCAGCTGGAATGAAGTTCGAGCCAAACCCGACTCCGTCATTCCCCTGTCTGAAGAAATTTGCTTGCCATTGCTGGAAGAGATTGTCTTTGTGCAGAATTTTCTTCCAAAATCCCTAATTCCTTCATTCTTGGTGCATCTGAGGTTATCCTTTGAGGGATTAACAAGGTATGCTCTTTTCTCCTGCAATTTCTTGCATCTATTGAGGGGTTTGTTGGGTTCTTCATACCCATGGGTTTTGCTCTTTGTTTTGGTAGCCAAACATCCACTCCTTTTGACCCATCCATTTTTTGTTGGAGTAATCGTTAGCAAGGAAGAGTTTGCATCAGTTTTTGGGGTTACCCCCCTTTTTGATTTTATTTCGGCAAGCTGCTGGAAGAGTGCGAACGTTGTGAGAAGAAATCGTTGGTGTAGACTGCATCCTTCTATTTTCTCCATTTTCTTCCCCCTTTTCATCAT